CCCCCCCCCTACAATTTTTTTCTGGTGACGCCCCTAGTCTCGAGCAGTTTGGATGGGGATGGAACAGTTTTTAATTTGAATGATAAGGAACGAAAGGAAATGTTTTTTGCATATTTTTTAATAAAAATAATAAAGAATTTTGTTGTATTAAGCCATTTGATGTGTTACTATCAACAATGGTTCTTCGTTAAACAGATAAATAAGTTAATATAAAAGAAACTTCATAACTTATGGCTGATCATTGTCTGTTTCATAGTGACGAAGACCGATTATTCAAACTCAAATTAATAACGAAATGATAATAAAAAAAATTAGAATTTAATAGATTCTACTAAATTTTTTAGAATGTAAAACTAGGATAAATAAATATTTATTTGATGATATAACATTAATATCACAATCAACGAAGTATTCTATTTCGTTTCAATATTAAAGTATCAGTTGAGCAAAATACATTAATCACTATATGACGCATACCACAAGCGATATGAGAGCGCATTGAGATAAATAAAAAATAAGGAAATAAATTTTTTTTTCCTTTGGTTACCAATTTGAAAAAGAAATTAAAATTATGATCAATTAGAAAATACTTTGCTAAATTTAACTCTTAGACAAAGTATCCACATCGTTCATATAACTTTATTTGCATTTTCATTTTCAAAAATCGTTTCTCTTTTCTTTTCTTTTCTTCGCACTCATTTTTGTCTATTTCCTCTATCTCTAATTAAATAAACATAGGTGTACGAAAAAATAATTTTATACCGTTGTACTTTTATGCTAAGATAAAGCAAAATATGGTAGAATATTTCATTCTATATAGTCTTTTCAGTGCCTTCAATCCTTTTTCTGTTCCGTAGTCATTGAGATCAAGATGTCAAGTATTGGAATAAATATTTCTACTATGCGTGAAGAAGTATTAAATGCTACATTTTTAGGTAATCAGCGTTTTTGAGAAGAGGGTTTTAAATCATCGAAATGTTTTCAGCTTATCATTGGTTAAATATGCACTGAACTTACTAAAAGAATTAATGCAACTAAAGGGATTACTAGGGGATCTAAACGTAAAACGATATAAAATTCAATTTCATGGACCCCTACAACCGTTCAAGTAGAATGCTTTTTTCATTTATGGAAAAATATGTCCTCAAACTATGGAAATAGATTTGGTATTTTAAAACAGTGTTATTTTTCGATCCCATAAATGATGTTTTTATTGGGTTTGACATTTAATTTATTTCGTGCTCATTAATAAATAGACTTATTTTATCAATGAAATGGATGGCATTTCTGGCCTAGCTACCTGGCGGTGGATATTATTATTAGAAGGTCTTCCAATTATTTCTCTCGGATTCATTACTTTGCTCTTTTTGGCAAATATTCCCGAAACTGTACGATGTAAGATTTTCAATATGATTGATTATAATGTTTGTTTTAACCAAGTTTTACTCAAGGGTTAACTCCGTGTGAGAAACAAATACTCACACGTATACTGCGCGAAGATGCTCGCGTAGCTGACGGTGAACCGGAAGCATACAATTGGTTATCGTGGCGTCAAGTTCGTTATGCTTTTACTGATTGGAGAATTTATCTCTATACCGTAATATCGATTGGAAATCTGGGTGTGATCAGATGTTGGACTGTATATTTTCCTAGTTTCGTTCAAATGATAACCTCCTCACCGGAGAATGAACATTGGTTATCGGTTCCATCCTATTTAGTTGCTACTTTGTGTATTTTCATAGTTGGCTTTTCAGCGTCCCGAAATAACGAGCACGGCTATCATTTGACTGCTGCATTAGCTATCGGTGCAATAGGCTTTTTACTGATGGCAGTCGTGGAAGAGAAGTCAAAAATTGTCATGTATTTCTGTATGACTGTAGCNTCAAATGATAACCTCCTCACCGGAGAACGAACATTGGTTATCGGTTCCATCCTATGTAGTTGCTACTCTTTGTGTTTTCATAGTTGGCTTTTCAGCGTCCCGAAATAACGAGCACGGCTATCATTTGACTGCTGCATTAGCTATCGGTGCAATAGGCTTTTTACTGATGGCAGTCGTGGAAGAGAAGTCAAAAATTGTCATGTATTTCTGTATGACTGTAGCCTGTTGTGGAACATTCGCAAGTTTTCCAATACTTTTATCGTGGGTGACGATTAATGTGGGTGGACATACGAAAAGAGCTCTGGCCGTGGGCTTTGTGTCCGGTTTCGGTAAAGTAGGCGGAATACTGGCACCATGGGTAGGTATATTTTTTAAGATATTCGAAAGAGTTTTACATGCTCGTTTCTAATAAAAATTACGAAATAATTTTAGTAATGATATTGTATTTTGTTTTTCGTTTAAGATCTATAACTTTGAAGACAAATGTGGCGATAAGAATAAGGTAAAAATCTAGCATACTTCAAAAGTCACATTGAATTTGGAGAGATACTTCTTTTCGATACTTTTCCGTTTATTACATTGATTCTTAGTGTCAATTTCGGCAAGGTCATATAATATGTGCAACGATCATGTTCACTGCAGTGCTGACTACTCTTCTGCTGCGTTTTTTGTTAAACAAAGAAAATAACCGACGAGCAAATCTTGGTGAAGCTGAGTGGCAGCGACAAGCAAAAGTAAAAGAACCTTGTGATAGGGTAATCTGAGAATTCTGTTGTATGACTTTCACGTGAATTCTCTATGTATTCTAGCATCCCGATGTTCGCTACATGTTATGAGCCTGTACGAAATTATTCGTCTGAACACTCTACAAACTTCTTTATTATTAATCAATTAGTGATATAATCGCAATAAAATTGGAAACTTAGTTTCTCCGTACATGAATTTTCTTATAATAAAAGTTAATTTATTGTACCAATAATGAGGAGCATCTTCTTGGTAGTGAATAATCTATGTTTGAATGCATCTTTATTGCAATCAGATGAACAAAGTTATGCCAGTAAAAGACAGAAGCAAGCATGATGAAAAAAATAGTGTGATTATAAGAAACTGCAATGTAATCGTCTTATTTAAAACCCCACGTGCAATTTTTTTCTCTGCAGTCTTCGCTAACTCAATAATCATTATCTATTTTGTTGTTTTCAAATATCCCTATGAGAACTGAAAAGAATGTCGAATACTTTTCTAGTCAATAGCGATGACTGCAGCAATATTTTCAGATGAATATCATATCTTGCAGAGCATATAGCAATGCTTTTAAGTATCTAAGTTTAGCTAACTCTGAGATATTGATAATATATTATATGTTACTCAATTTGCATTACACTCTCTAACTGCTATCTAAACTGTCGCAGCGAATAACGCATTACTTTATTAGATGCCACCTTATTTCAACATTCATATTTTCACAATTATAAACGGTTTTATTAGAAATCAGTCAACGCACAGACTCAAACACGCGAAGAATCCTAAAATGAAGATGAAAACCCATACCATGCTTGAAACAATCTTACAGACGAGCTCGAATTACGGAACGAGTTTTACAAAGTAGGTCTGAAGGGCCAAAGACTGGTATAGAAATTAACAACGATTTTGATGATAAATCTGGCACACGTTAAGTCTAATTTCAGAACATTCGAAGTCAATAGACATTTAGATGTCGAACCAAAGGCGGATACGATGACGTATTATCGTACAGCTAGAAATGTTTTTTTTAATATACACTCAGTTTTAATGAGAATATATCTGTGGAGCGCGTTTCAATGTGAGTATGATTGTTGATGCACCTGCTGCTAGAGACTAGGGTCACATTCTCACTTCAAGATGATCATCAGATCACGCGATATGAGTACTGTAAAATATTTTTAAAAACTCTGAGGAAAAGAAAAATTTTACAAAATTTGTGAATAAAACAATAAAATTGGGTTACTTGTTTAACAGCTATTTATTCAATAGAGTCTATATCATAGACTAAAGAGTACCAACAAAGTATAATACTGATTCCTTCCATTATGTCAATTCTATCCTTATGGGGTCCATACGGACCCCAGGTGGTCAACAAGTGGTAGTTCTTAAGGTGGTCGTGTCAGGGTTAAATACATCTTCCGCTAAAATAGTGGCATCCAAAATTCTGCTGCATTTCTGTTCACTGACTGGAACTTTATTTTCAAAGATGTTTAAATAAAACGAAAGAAGCTATAGTGAATATATCGCTTAGCTAATACGCAAACATCAATAAAAGATACTTAATGTTGAGCTTCTTTTTAAATTAAAAATTCGTTCACAAAAACGAGCAAAACTAAATCACATACATTCTGCGTAGATTGAGAAATCCAACGAGAAAAACAAGCTAAATTCCATCATCTCGGTATTGTTATTCATATTTCGTATCTTCTGGAATTTGCTCTAGGAATTTTCTTTAAGATAACATATACTAATAAAAAACTTTCTCAAGAATAATTACCAATCACTTTTATTTTAAATTAAGCATTATCTGGTTTTATATTACTGGATTACGATAATCGGACTATAAATGCTTCATATAACCGAAAATCAATTCGACTCCAGAATTCGAACGAGTAATATAAAAGATGGTTAATCCACAAAATTAATGGGACACTATTGATTTATTATAGTAATGGGTTATAATCGTACCTAATTTCAGTGACAAAGCAGCGATCTGAAAACATTCCAAATATGGAAAAATCAGAAACATGTTCAAAATTCAGATATCTTCCCTAGTTTTCAGAAGATCTGGCCACCCTGATTGTGAGAGTCGCCTATTGAACATTCTCATTAGAGTGAATCATTTTTAGGATTATTGAATAGTGGCTTACGCCACACATAAACAGTTAATTTTTCTTTTGATGATATCGTGTCTTGTCTGTACCTTTTACTTTTATATTGATCGAGCTAATCTATCATCTCGAATCATTTTTCATAGATTCACAATCTACCTATTCGAATGATAATACTCACAGCTATGTTGCTTATCAGTTTTTCACTTTGATTTTAAGTTGGCTATTCACTAAACGAATCATTTGGTGAGATCATCAAATCTCGAATTCCGCCACGAAAAGAACTGAACCGTAATCACCATTTTCAGTATAGAACATTTGCGCTTATTTCTCATACGATTTCGAAGGTATGTGAGACACGCACAGTAAGCTTTAACAATCAACGAGATAGTATCGTACTGCGCACATATGATATAGCGGCTAACTTCCTTGTGTCATATTGAACACTAAAATGACTTGAAAGAGATTCAAATTAATTTTTGAAATTACTGTCTTTTTCTAATTATTTTTGAGCAGTATAAATCGTTGAATATTTTCTCCTACTATTAATTTATCGAACCTCTGTTTGTCTACGTTACGCCTAAAATGAGAATATTAATAAAGGAAACATTAGTGAAATGTATGGGCTATCTAATTCTTTTTCGATCTAACAAAACAAAACTTCTCTCAGTTGCATTTCTCTTCTTACCTAAATTGGTCGACTGGTGTTGATCTATGCCGAGTAAAAACTATGCACACACCCTTTGCATTTTTGGCGTTTTCTCTCAAATATTTATAAACGCTCTTCACAATACATGCAGCCACTAATCTTCAAGCAAAACAATGAAATAAGGTGATGCAAATAAAGTAGATATCCTTATAGACTCATGTTAACTGCGCAATAACAAAAATCTTATCAACGTTAAACAGTCAATGTAAATTTAGCAATACAATAATGGCGTTTTAATAATAGTAATGCAATATTCTCTAAAAGTCATGTCTATAGCTATGATATACTAGACATTTTTATGTTTCATTTTTCTTCATCTTTTCTAACTTATTAAGATGCGCAATGCATATTCAAAATAATCGAACGAAAGCTCATTAGATTCGTCGAATGCACTTTTCAGGGATATAAATAGATGCTAGTGCCTTACATGTAAGAACTTTGATAAATATTATGTCTACTAGTAAGATTTTGATTCAATATTCGAAATAAATTCGTCGAATAACATCACGCCGGATGGACTATTGACAGAAGATCTACATGCCTATTTCTTATTATCATTAGAAAAAGAGAGCAGAAAGATGCATTTTACGAGTAATACTTATTGAGTGTTTCGTTCCTTTTCCATTTCGAAAAAAGTCACAAAGCAATGGATTTATCACTTCAAATAGTAGAAATGAAAGAAAGTGACCCACAAAACACATAATACCTGACTATACAAAAGTATTAAATTAAAGGAAGCGAAGAACTTTTTATCGAACTGATTTTATATCAATATTTATTCATTTTAGAAATACTTTTGGAGTATATATAACCAACTCGACTAATGGCAGAGATAAAAGAACTTGTCTAAATCATACCTTTCTAATCTAATCTATCTACGGACGGCCTATGACGTAGTATATTGAATTTCTTACTTTTAGAGATAGTTTGCAAGTGCTTGTTGTTTTTATCCACATGGATAACGATGCCGAATTCAATAATAAATGCGTTACTTCAGAATCACAGAATATTCTAATCATTTTGGAAGAAGACCTAAAAAAGCATCATGCTCGAGCTGTTCAATGTCTCATTCGAAAACTCGACTGCCGTTTGATCCCTTTTCTGGCTATGCTTCAATTTTGTTCATACATCCACCAAATTAGTATAGGTATACTTGATTTCATTGTATTGTTCTACATATTTTTGAATAGGTTATGTCAGAATATTGAATTTAAGAATCGATCTAAATATGACACAAGAAGAAGAAAATTGGTGCATTTCAGCATTTTATGTTGCCTACGTAAGTTAAGTGAATAATATTCTATTTGCATGCTTTCGTTTGTAGTTGTTATTTGAAATTCCATCCAATATAATATTGCGACGTTTCGGTCCGACAATATATCTATCAATCAGTATGATTAGTTGGGGATCAATCACTGTTGGAACGGCTTTTGTTAACAATGCTGTAGTATTTATTTTTGTTCGGTTTCTTCTCGTAAGAGTCTTGCATAGTTTCACATCATAGATTCGATGAATATTTTACGATAGGGTGCGGCTGAAGCCGGATTCTTTCCCGGAATGATTATTTATATATCTTTATGGTACCGCAAAAGAGAACAAACAATGCGTATTACAATTTTCTTCTTAGCAGTAACAACAGCAGGTGCCATTGGTGGAGCTTTGGTAAATATAAAAATAAACGTGTTGACATTTGTTTTCATGAGGGTGTATTGAAATTTAGAAATATAATTCGTTTCCTCAAACCAAGTTAGTTATATCTGTTATTGCCATAGTGATAGTTTTCTTTCCAAAGTAACCAATTGAAACAGAAGCATTTAAAGTCCTATTTTTGTATGATTAGGGTTAGAAGAGAGTCGAAAAATTGCTCAATTAGTCATGTACGTTTGATGTCATGCACTTTCTTCTTACTTCTTGCATTTAAATTCGAGACTTTATTGAGTCATTATATCTTAATACCAAAAAAAACGATTGATGGAACTAAAAAAGGTCAAGACTCTTTATGAGGAACATTCACCAATATTCATGATAATTTAATCGAAAAATTCACTACAATAACGGCGGGCGTTGAACCATTCAACTATGAATCAAAAGTTGATGTATGTTCGGCAAGTCGGCAAAAACATAATAGAAACTGCATTAGATTAGGGAAGAGTTCATATTATATATAAATATAATCTGCTCTAATAATTGAGAATGTGAGGAAGTTTCGCCAGTATTGGCGAATGTCCACAAGGCCTTCGCCAATTGGCGATTGTCAGCGGGGTATATTGGCGAACTTCGGGCTGCTCCAATAAGTTTTCAAAATGATAATCTCGAATTGTTGGCACAAGACAATAATTAGTTGGAGTATCTTTGAAGCAAAATGGCGATAGAAATTCATCAAAATATAGAAGATATCTCTTTAGCAAGTCAAATCCAACAAGTAACCATGTAATATATCCATTCAATTTGATGCATTTCGTTATAATCAAAGCTCAAGCCCGATGTAAAATCCACACCTACGAACCTAGGCCCACGAAATAATAATCTTATACCGTTGTACTTTTATGCTAAGATAAAGCAAAATATGGTAGAATATTTCATTCTATATAGTCTTTTCAGTGCCTTCAATCCTTTTTCTGTTTCGTAGTCATTGAGATCAAGATGTCAAGTATTGGAATAAAAACTTCGAGTATGCCTGAAGAAGTAGTGAATGTTACATTTTTAGGTAATAAGCGTGTTTGAGAAGAGGGTTTTAAATCATCGAAATGTTTTCAGCTTATCATTGGTTAAATATGCACTGAACTTACTAAAAGAATTAATGCAACTAAAGGGATTACCAGGGGATCTAAACGTAAAACGATATAAAATTCATTTTCATGGACCCCTCCAACCGTTCAAGTAGAATGCTTTTTTCATTTATGGAAAAATATGTCCTCAAACTATGGAAATAGACTTGATATTTTAAAACAGTGTTACTTTTCGATCTCATAAATGATGTTTTTATTGGGTTTGACATTTAATTTATTTCGTGCTCATTAATAAATAGACTTATTTTATCAATAAAATGGATGGCATTTCTGGCCTAACTACCTGGCGGTGGATATTATTATTAGAAGGTCTTCCAATTATTCCTCTCGGACTCATTACTTTGCTCTTTTTGGCAAATATTCCCGAAACTGTACGATGTAAGGTTTTCAATATGATTGATTATAATGTTTGTTTTAACCAAGTTTTACTCAAGGGTTAACTCCGTGTGAGAAACAAATACTCACAAGTATACTGCGCGAAGATGCTCGCGTAGCTGACGGTGAACCGGAAGCATACAATTGGTTATCGTGGCGTCAAGTTCGTTATGTTTTTACTGATTGGAGAGTTTATCTCTATACCGTAATATCGATTGGAAATCTGGGTGTGATCAGATGTTGGACTGTATATTTTCCTAGTTTCGTTCAAATGATAACCTCCTCACCGGAGAACGAACATTGGTTATCGGTTCCATCCTATGTAGTTGCTACTCTTTGTGTTTTCATAGTTGGCTTTTCAGCGTCCCGAAATAACGAGCACGGCTATCATTTGACTGCTGCATTAGCTATCGGTGCAATAGGCTTTTTACTGATGGCAGTCGTGGAAGAGAAGTCAAAAATTGTCATGTATTTCTGTATGACTGTAGCCTGTTGTGGAACATTCGCAAGTTTTCCAATACTTTTATCGTGGGTGACGATTAATGTGGGTGGACATACGAAAAGAGCTCTGGCCGTGGGCTTTGTGTCCGGTTTCGGTAAAGTAGGCGGAATACTGGCACCATGGGTAGGTATATTTTTTAAGATATTCGAAAGAGTTTTACATGCTCGTTTCTAATAAAAATTACGAAATAATTTTAGTAATGATATTGTATTTTGTTTTTCGTTTAAGATCTATAACTTTGAAGACAAATGTGGCGATAAGAATAAGGTAAAAATCTAGCATACTTCAAAAGTCACATTGAATTTGGAGAGATACTTCTTTTCGATACTTTTCCGTTTATTACATTGATTCTTAGTGTCAATTTCGGCAAGGTCATATAATATGTGCAACGATCATGTTCACTGCAGTGCTGACTACTCTTCTGCTGCGTTTTTTGTTAAACAAAGAAAATAACCGACGAGCAAATCTTGGTGAAGCTGAGTGGCAGCGACAAGCAAAAGTAAAAGAACCTTGTGATAGGGTAATCTGAGAATTCTGTTGTATGACTTTCACGTGAATTCTCTATGTATTCTAGCATCCCGATGTTCGCTACATGTTATGAGCCTGTACGAAATTATTCGTCTGAACACTCTACAAACTTCTTTATTATTAATCAATTAGTGATATAATCGCAATAAAATTGGAAACTTAGTTTCTCCGTACATGAATTTTCTTATAATAAAAGTTAATTTATTGTACCAATAATGAGGAGCATCTTCTTGGTAGTGAATAATCTATGTTTGAATGCATCTTTATTGCAATCAGATGAACAAAGTTATGCCAGTAAAAGACAGAAACAAGCATGATGAAAAAAATAGTGTGATTATAAGAAACTGCAATGTAACTGCCTTATTTAAAACCGCACGTACATTTTTTCTCTCTTCAGTGCTCGCTAACTCAATAATCATTATCTATTTTGTTGTTTTCAAATATCACTATGAGAACTGAAAAGAATGTCGAATACTTTTCTAGTCAATAACGATGACTGCAGCAATATTTTCAGATGAATATCATATCTTGCAGAGCATATACCAATGCTTTTCAGTATCCAATTTTATCTAACTCTGAGATAAAGAAATGATTGATCTATTTTATTCTTTATGCATTGATCCTGTTTTTTGTTTACAGATACTAATACTAACTTCTTGTGCATAATCACAAAGGCTTATATATCGGATGGCGAATCATATCGCATTTTTGTTAATTTTATTTATTACATTTTTTCACATTGTTATTATGAGCAGTAAGAAAACTTTTCCTACTTCTCCATATGTAGGTCCTATACCACCTCAGCCTAGTCAAGTATGTATTCTAATTCATTCATATAATCAAATGTCAAGAATAATGAATTCGTTTTTAGTATACTACATCACTGACAATTAATGGAGTTCCTGCAATGTACTATGCAGACACAACCATTAATCGAGATAAACTCGATTCATCTGAACTAAATCAGATCTTTATTATAGATTTTGAAAAATCTATATCCTACGCTATATTAAACGGTATTATGGGTTTTCTTTTTCGTTTGATGTAACGGCATTGCTGAACATATTTCCTTCTTCTTTTCTCGTAAAGGATCGTGTTCCTCGACTCAAATTCCCGGAAAAATCAAACCTATGTTAGCATTTGCAACTTACGATTTCGCTGGAAACGTAACATACGACGAAAAATTATGCTATGAATGGAATGGTTGTCATAATTATGAGGTAATAAATAAAATATCTTATATTGTTCAATATACATAAGTAATACTACGGTAACTCTAGAGTTCATAAGTGTCAATGAATGTTTGTTACTTCCTACCCGCATTCACCTCCTTCAAATAAGCCGCTAATGTAAATTCATTGCGCTTTTCTATTTGAGGTACCCTCTGTTCTATTTATAACGGTATCTAACAGTTTCGACTTCGGCTTATTGAAACTAATAAATATGGTGCAGATATCATGGTTGAAAGTATTTGCTTCTTGTGATTTTCATTGTAAGTTTCGGTAGTTTTGTTTTTTCCTGGTTATTATGCATAATATCTGTCTAAAATTCATGACTTTGAGTTGTTCATAACGATTTATTCTCATTGTATCTAAAAATAGTTAACCCTAAAACTACAACTTCATAAAAGAAACGGAATTATTAGTGTCGATTGCTATCCATAACAATGCAAAATTGAAAATCTATTTTTATTATAGCCCTTGCATTATAGTGGTACCACTAACTCTCTGAATTACTAGATAAAAATTCTTCTTTATCTTTTATCTACTTAGATACCCCCTGCACCATTTAATTATTATGCAACAGTCGACGGAAACATACCAGTGGGCTTAGACTTGTATACTATTGGTGTTAATGTTCATTTTTCTAACTTCACGTATGGTCCTCCTCCACCATCTACATTCAACATTCCAAAGAATTGCACGCCGGTACAATTCAACCGATCGCTTCATCCTATTTTTTCGCATTTCACAATCGAAAAAAGCAATGTGGAAATAATATGCTGATCATTTTTCAAGAACTTCTGTATGAATGGCAAACGAAAACATATATTATTATATGTACAGACATCTTTGTAATATGAAAGATTGACATTTTCAACGTGAGAAACTCATAAAAAATATGTTTCTTTGACTTGACGTTTGTTGTTGGTAAATAAAAATATCTTCACAGAGTATTAAAAATTGAGTTCTAGCAAAGAGTATGAACAATTATGCTCTCTACGTATCACTGTTCTATTATGTTAGTGTGAACACTTTTTAATCATGTTCACAATTCACATCTTTTCGTGAACGAATAGGTTATTTACAGTGTCAATGTGATTTTTAAACTAGGAATATATTCAAAATTGATTTTTTACAGAATGTGTTGTGTTACCATGACATCTGCCGTGTTTCTTAAAACAAAATTCACTTCCTCTTAGCTCTAATGAGGTAAAATGATGGAGTGTGATGATTTTTTACTTAAAATCCTCTAAAATATGAATTATCTAACAACATGCTCTTATGTTATTGTTTTCCTCAATTCAAATATTAGAATCAAAGTCGACAATCAAGGATACTCTGAGCAGTTTATATTGTTGAAAACTCGTATAAGATAAATTTGTTCACAAACAGTTCTTACATTTAATAATAAAATCAGAGGCTAATATTAGAATTTTTTTCTGATATCAATAATCTTTACGTACAAAATCAGATTTCATCGCAAATGTTATTTATCACATGAAATGATTTCCTGGTAAATTCATCAGATACATTTTTTTTACAAATTACTGAATGCTAAGGAGGAAAAACTGATTTCTAGTGATTTCCATCGCAGGAAATCAGTTTTATATGTAAAAGTCACATTGTCGAAAGTCGTTGAAAATGTTTAGAAATTAATAAAGTCGATGAGAAATCGATGGAAATTAAGGATAGCCACCAAATGTGTGGATCCTCATAGAAAATTAGAAAACCAAAAAAGTCGTCAGAAATCACTAGAAATCAATATGTTCTTTTTCTACTGTATATTTGGAGAATTTTTGTAATATGAAATGATTTTTAGTGATTTCTAATGACTTCTCATGTTTTTCTAGTAGTCACAATCGATTTTCGGGTTTCATTTTCATCCGACCGCCTTTTAATGATTTCTGCCACAAGAAATCAGTTTTTCCTCCTTGCTGAATGCTGATAAAAAGCTGACTGGTTAACATATTTTTGATTACCATTCATTGTCTGTTTTTCTCGTTAAGTTTTTAATGTTTGATATTGGATGAGATTAATCAATATACAATAAATGCGAAAATCAAATTCTTTTTCGTTCGTTGAAATAAATATGTTTGTTAATGCTTCTTGAAAACAATCATAAAAAAAAGAACATATACATGAAAAAGCAGAAACGATAGTACACTTAGGAGTCTTCTAATTTTCCTGTTGGTATATCAATTAACTTCGGATAACGTAATGATTTCTTATCTAATTTATCTTCAATATAATTAACCATTTTCACAAGCATTGATAAATCGGATTCCGATTGTTGATTTTGATGAACAAGTAAAGCATTATTGATTTGATTAGCAATAATTTGCCGGTGTGACGTTTCCATTAAGTAGCCGTATGGAGACTCCAGTGGTTTGTCAAAGACTAATAATGCCATCGTTTTTTCTAATTCTTGTCGCATTTTAATTTCATCTTCGGCAAATTCAGCTAAATGAGTTTGTGCATATGTCAAAGCTTCATCGATTAAATTTAAACGAATCAATTCAATTAAATGTTGTTGCTAAAACGAAAATCACAAATAAAGATTTTTTTTTCGCATGAATGAAATTTCTTGATAGTCTATTTTACATTCTAATTTTTTTTTCATTTATGCATTTAAAATAATACCAGTAGCTCTTATATTAGAGCAGACAGCTCCACTTGAATTTTTGACTGTGGATTCAATGAGACTCATATACAAGTACAAGTACGTATAGAGATTTTTTTATTTACATTAACAGTATCATTTTTAAATCTAAAATTTGCTTCTGGTAGAAAACAATTTTTTCAATGCCAAGCATATTTACATAGACGAACAATAATAGATATATATATATAAAACTGACGTGTCACTTATGAAATATTCTCTATCATATATCTGACTTATCTTGATCTAAACCCACAGATAGAAGCATAAATTCGTATAAAAGAAAGAAAAAAAAACGACCGTTAGCAATAATTGAGTCTCTTTTTTCTGTAAAATTTTAAAGAATTTAATGTCAGAGTTAAATTTAAACAAAAAGATTCTTCTAATAAAACATTCATTGAATTGAATTACCTTTAAATGAAATGCTAATTGTTTATTTTGATCAAGTAATTCAGGTGCTTTTTTATTTATTAAACAAATAGCATCTTGAATTTTTCCATTTTCAATAGCTTCACGAATTTTTAAACGTTCATCAACTGATGTTAAATCGACATTGTTCAATGTTATACCAGCTTCCTGTGCAAATATTTCAGCTGCTTCTTTAAATCCTTCTATACAAAATAAAATAAAATATTATTTTTTCATCAACTCATTTTTATTTCACCTGTAATAAGATAATTAATAATCAATCGATTCAGCGACGATCGTTCTAAATGTTGTTGTTCAATAGCTTCCATCCATTCACTTTTTGTTCCTGTATGATGAACTGGTGTTAAAACATGACTTTCACATGTTGACGATGCTGATGATGTATTCGATAAAGCCATGGCTGCTGCTACGGCTGCCTAAATCATAGAATAGACGATTAATTTAGAAGATAAAATAAAAGTGCAAAACAAACTTGAAAGGGTTGGGCGAAGTGTGCTGAGTGCATTGCGATTCACTGTTGCAAATAGAAAAAAAATCAAGTAAAAAACGATCCAAGTCGAAGAACATTTACTTACAACGATGAAATATAGCAAACTCCTATTGGTACACAACTTCGTCAATAGGAAATTATCATGAAAAGTAGTAGCCGACAAGCAGCGCCATCTCATAGAAAGTCAGAGAAAAAAGTTTCCACAACAATCAAAGAGAATATTATTGTATTATTAACATACTCGAGGTTTTATCTCTTTATCATCAAGATGAAACAGTATGATTCTGCTCCATGACGTCGGAGAAAATTATTTAATGCGCCAGGGAATAATATGGCATTTTTCTAAATAGTGTTTGTAATCGAGCTGATAAAAAAAAATGTTTTGTTTTTCATTGATAGCGTGATTGATAATAAACTTTGTCGAAATAATTAAATTATTATTTTCTTTTATTCGAGATTACTAACTTTGATGTAAATATGTCTTTTATATTATAGAAGTAAATTTTGCGAATAATTATATAATGAGATATAGAAGATTGAATTTATTGATAAATTAACGAAGACTATTTTTCAAAAAGGATTAAATGCCGATATTCAACACAATAAGGTGCTTAGTATAATACGTGATGGCCAATCATCATTATTTTGATATAGAATTGACTTCTACTGAATATAATATCAATGAATATTGTGGAATTTATCAAGTTTATTTGCAATTTTTAGGGAGAATTTATATCCGATCAATAAAATAATATAGAACCTATATAATACATTTTAAATTCTAATTTTAAATAGAATAGAAGCTTCTTCAATAAAAGAATTCATATCGGAAATGACTTTTTTGATACTAATCATGAAATAAATTATTCGTAAAATCCGTGAAAATTGAGTTCGTCATTTGCATGATCGAAATATGGCTAGAACCTGACTTACTCTCTACCAGTTTTGATGTATATATCCTGTTAAGTTTTCAGAGATAATCATATTTTCTATTTGTTTTACTTCAGAAATTCGGCAAAGCACTATTTTTTTTAAGTATTTTATCTTCAGAGAAATCATTTAATTGTTCTTAAGGTTATCAAATATGCTTAAGAAAAATAATTAAGCTGTTTGCGATGTAAAATGATATGGTTGTTTGATATACAGATACAGCTATTTTGTCAAATCCTCTGAATCACTCTTTCCAATAAACATCGACAATTTATATTCTGAAGATGGCAAACAGCTAATTTTAAAAATGTGCTCAATTTGAGAATAAAATTTGATCTTTGCATAAAAACAAAATATTTTCAAATGAAAAAAATAGAGTAAATCTAAGAAAGAAAGATTTCAATTAAAAGACCTATCTATATAATTATCACATTATTATAAACGAGTTTATTCATAGAGTTTCTACTTCCAATAAACGAATAAAGATATTTACGAATGTCATCAAGATGATATGAAGCGTTTAATGTTTGGATAGATGCAATACAAGTAATAAATATTTTATTGTCTGTTTATTTACTTGAAGATCCATGCAAGAAGATATATTGAGTTGATTACGAAGACAATTGAAATCAGCGTATTCGATAGAGAATAAGACTGACTGAGAGCTCGATTACATAAATGTTTGTGACAGCAATAGATTTTAAGATCAGCTATTTGAACAGTAGTAGAATTGCCGACAATAGCTGAACTTTCTAGACCTTGTGGACAACCAGTTAAACTTGCATTTCGCAAGGTAAATTTATTACCATCAGTCAGTTTACCAACCATTTTCTGTAATAAGAAAACAAGAAGTCGAATTAGAATTTTGTACTTTTTAGTCTATTACGAAATGAAATACACACCGTACAGGTTGCATTCGTAGTTGTGGCACTGTGCGTCGAAATAAGTGTTCCGTTAACATTGAATTTATCGTCGCAACCAGTTGTATTTGGTTTTGTACTCAAACAAGAATAACATTCCAAAGCATTAACACGATAACTCTCTTAGAAAATTAGAGAAAAGTTTATTATTTTATTTTTCATTTGATGCCTACCGTTAAGAAATATTAGAAAAATTAGGTGGAATATATTTGTTTTCATGCTGTTATGAAAAAAAAAGAGTGAATGACAATAATTTACAATCAGAAACTTGATATAAGCAAAAAAAAATTATTGATCGTCTTAAAGCTGCTTTGGCACAATGAAAAATATGTCATAAGATCTGCCCTTTTCTTTTCTTCGATTTTTTTCTCATTTGAAAGTGAAGAGAAAAAGAAATACTGCTGTATTTTTAATCATATTTGCTCTTCGATTATTCGCTTGATGTTCTCGTTTCAGAGAATACGCTCATTTTCTAAAATACTATCAGCACTGATTCAAACAGTTGGTGAATTAAAATAATACGCTTTTATTGTCGTCGATTGTTTTGAATTATTTATTTTTCATTTCTATTCAAAATTAGTTTTTTTCTGTACACAATCTTATTTCATAATAGTATATCATAATAAAATGAAGCAATATAATTTTACTTATCTAATTCTAAATAATTGAAACAATCGATTAAAAAGAATTCAACAGACAAATAGCCTTCTTATATATGGTGTAAAGAAAGTAGGAGATAATATTATAGTGTTTCTTTGCTTTTGTTTTGTTCATTGAGCCTACAATTTAATAAAGAACTCTAAAAAACTAATAAGAAAATGATTGAATATGCTGCGCATTCAGTAAAATTGTGTTGACATATGTCCAACAAAATTATTTTGCTCTCTCATAATAAAAAATGTTAGCAAAAGCATATCTTCGATAATAAACAACATCAATCAAAAACGGATAGGCATGACGTTTTCAACGATATTTGATAATTTCTGTATTGTATGTTATTAGAACAATGTCTTTTACCAATGAAATCAGTCTTATGAAAATTAAATTTTATATTTCCCAGACAATGGATTCGGATGTTAGAAGGGGTGAGCTAGTCGTTCGAATCAATCAGTTGGCTTGCATTTTAGCTCTGTAGGACTACATTGAAGATTGAAATTATCTTTACTTTCTAGCTTGTGCGTGCCAAATAATCATTTGGAAAGTTGTCTTTTGCGTTCTCAATATGTTTAATTTAGTGTTTTTCATGCCAAATAAAAACTCATTCTTTCTACTACTAAATTTCATATAAGAATACGACATTATATTCTTTATTCCACTTTTTTTATTGAGCGATATTATTGACACGTATATATATATATATATATAATATACGAGCACTGATGATTCTACAACATTTTACAATTATACTACGTTAAATTTATAGGTAAGCCATTTTACGTAAATGGATAATGTTTGAGAGCACAAAAGCTACCCGTTTTGTCGAATACTTAACCAATGTTGTGCTGAATAGTTGAATCCTTCAATGTAATCAAATATGATATATTTGGAATCGCCGCAAAAAAGATTAAATCGTGCATCTATTGCTAAAAGTTATCCGCCCCAAAATGCATTGTTAATTTATTCACGGCTGAGTCGCACAATAGCTTAGTTGAAGTATATTTTTTTACTGCTTATTTTTCTTTTATTACGAAGTTTCCTAGATTTTTAAGAATTAACAAATCACTTTTCATACTGAGATTTACATTTTGACTGATCCTATTCGGCGGTGTAGACTTATACAGCGGATGATTTATTTTCAGATGAGAAAAGTGTTATGCGACGATTTTGTTACAGGCGCAGATCGATTTTTATGCTAAATCTAAATCTATATTTTCTATATCTTATAATCTATGCGGTCGGTTTTTTGGGTAATCTAAGAGAGACGTTTTGATTATGGTGGGCGGAAGAAAAATATAGTTTCACTTTTACAGAAGCCGTATTTCTTTTCATAGAGAAAAACGAACTTCAGCTAGATGTGTGATACGAATCACAATGAGTCGAAGACAAGAGAATAAATTTTAAAGAAATACTGATTTGTAGAATATTGTAGGAAATTAATAGTATTGAATTTTTAGTTGATAATGGAAAGCTGAAATAAAGTCTGTCAGTCTGATTCGCACGATGGCCAACTTTTGAAATACCGATTAAATGTAAGAAAACAAATTGAAGCTCAAGTTTTAGAAGACTGATTGTGCTAGCGGTTTAGTTTTTAATTAAATTAATTTTCAGAATATCTTAAAAGAACATCTTTTTGAATTTGTATACGTTGTGATATTTAAAAATGAAAGTAATGCTTGAAAATATGTTAGTAGTTGAAATATTAATAAAAATGGCATCATTTTCTAAGCGGCATTTTAACTAATCATGTTATTACTGCCATTGATGAACATCACTGTTTTCACCTTATTATGTGTAAATGATTGTGTGGCACACACAGTAATATTTCCTAGCTACCGTGTATTTTATCATTTACTATTCGTTTTATTTTGACCACGGAGAATTTTCTTTGTGTATCTGTTCATAGACTTATTGAGATTGTAGAAACTTCTGATGTCACGCCTATAAGAATCTTCTGTATATAAGAGATTCGAAATGTTGATGAAGATTCTATTATGTTTTTTTGCTCATGATATGTAAATGAAGCATTATTTTTGCATGGGTACTTATCAGAGATATCCATCGTGGTGCTACCATTTCTGTGCCGCGGCTACTACGGCGTCAGTGGTATATTCTCAATGATGATGGACATCTATGATGCTCCTAAAGGACTATTCAATGTTGAAATCTCGTCAGATTTTGAAGACATTAAACGTATATAATGATTCTCGATTTACTGACTTTTGGCCCGTTCAAATAGTCAATGAATGAGGAATCTCCGTGTAGCTGTAGAGTATCTGTGTAGTAAAGATATATATATACAGCACTCATCGATAAAGTTAGCTATATGTTTTCAGTTATAATTCAAACGTTAATACAATTTACGTATATACATCATTATATGTATTCTTATTTTTAAGGTGAATAAAGGTGACTACAAGCACAAGTAAGATGTGGTTCATTGTTTTGCGACGGTGTATATGCATCGGAAACGAATTCAATTTGAAAAACCACAATCTACACGCGGTGTAACATGGGTAAAGTCAAGTTTTTCATGATAAATTTCCACGCTTCTATCAATGGGTTTGTGATGGACGTTGTCCAGTGAATTAACTTTCGGTTGAGCCTTCCAATTTAATCTTTCTTGTTGAATGTTGACTTGAGGCACCGGCGGTGTCCAATGTATATTTGATAGAGAATTAACTTTTGACGATGTTTGCCATTTAACAGGTTCACTCCGTAGTGCTACTTGCCCACCACGTGGTCGATGACTAATGTTACTCATCGAGTCTACTTTTGGTTTTGCATCTTTCACTATCACACTATCACTAGGTATTTCTACTGTACTTGGTTTAGGTGACCACCAAAGTTGACGAGACTACAAAACAAAAAATATAGAAGTTTTTGTGAACATTGACTTGAAATATATTACCCCTCGAGTACTCTCGTTAAAATTTTTTCGAAAGGATAAGTTTTGTGCGTCTCTGGAAGGAGATAGATATTCCTTATTGAATGTACCATTGCTTGGTGTCGGTGTATCCATGCTTTTGGTAATGTTTATACTCGCAGAGATATTATACTTGGTGAGAGTAAAATTTGGCGATCTAAACTTAACCGATGTGTGATACAGAAATGAAGTTTTTGAATACGATCGTATAATGAAGTAGACGATAAACTTTTCCTAATGCTTATATACTCAATGCGGTAATCATTTCATTAGCAAAATCAGTCTTTCTTTTTATTGCGTGACTTCATTCGTTAATAAGGCACAGTTGCTTTTCCGTTTCTTGCGTATTCTGGCTTGGCTCATCATTAAAGTAAAATTATGCCAGAAGCGTTTGTCGTGTTCGTATTATTACCGTTTAAGAAACTCATTAGTTTTGTTTTTGTTTATGCATGAAAACACAATCACACAAGCTTTGTTAATTGTTGAATAGCAAATCGATAAGGTTTGAAATACTATTTAAAAAAGCGCTCTCTCGTGTATTCAAACAACCGTTTCTTGTGTTTCTTTCTGCAATCGATAACTCAATGGCTTGTTGAAGCAAATAGACTCGTTAACTTATAGGATTCCGATATTAGTCAATACTAATGTTTTTCTCATTACAGGATAACCAGTGCTTGGATACCAGCACCATAGATTTAGATGAAGCAAATTAATATAGCATATTCCTAATATATTCGTCATTATTGGCACGGTACATTTTTCGATGAATACATTGAACATTTTGTTACTAAATCTATATGTATCGACTCAGCACTCTCGTGGCATTCACTGTATATTCTCCCTAGCCGATGCTTCAGTTATTCTCATCATTCTATTCGTTTTACAGTGAATCAGCAAGAGTTGACAAACAAAAATCTTAGCGTATTTCCTAAGAAATTATCATGTACTTCTATGTGAAATGCAATTCAAATAGGGATTTTCTATAAGCAGTTACCAGATATGAAAATAATGACTTTTAATCAGATTCTAATTCAAGAGTGAAATGTTCTATTTCACGCCTAGCTAAAACTCAGGAAAAATAATTGTCGTTAATACACATATAAGTGCCATTGTTTCCCATGCTAATATGCGGAACTTCTGAGCTACGCTTTATATAATGCAATTTAATTTAATTTATCGTAAAAAAATAAAATAGCTGATCTATAATGAATTATTTGTCAATTAACATTGTGGCATGCAGCGTCAGTAAAGTTAGCACAGTATTCGAATATTTTCAGCTTCAATTTGTTCACTGGTCCGTGTTGGATCTGGAATAGATTGTTTTTGGATATAGAATTTCTATATCTATCGAATGATACTATTTTCTATGCTAGTAGTCGAACAAAATGTTTGGGCGCCGATGAGTATTTGGAATGACGATGTATAATCTGCGTGACTTTTTGCTACGAGTTTCAACGTTTGCGGGTATTGATTTTTAAGTGAAGAATGGGAAATACGTTTAGCTATACTTAAGCGTTCAGAATCAAATATTTTCGTCTTATTTCTAACATTCAAACTATATTCATATTTCTGTGGAAAGTCCGCCGTATATATTTAATCAAACGTCATAGACAAGGAATATCACAACTTATAACACATATTTTTATTAATCTTAGAAAACTGTGGCAACCATAAGTTACATGCCCATATGAAATGATGCAGTGCAGCTCTAGAGTTTCACTTCATAAATGCCAATTTGCATAGCAGCTTTGTTAGAATAATGTCAAGTTTTCGAAAGTTTTACTAAAAATATGTTACACTCCTTGGAAACGCTAATAACTTGATTGGCATACTATCAAAAAAGAACTTTAGTTTTAATTCTAACCATGCATACATTCAAATCATATTTTATTATATTTTTACTCATGGAAAAGTATAGCAATAAATAAGTAACGTTGTATTGTACTATTTTAATGGGAGTGGCCATTTTATTTTGTCTGTTTTTGTATCTTTTAGATCTTATATATGAACTTCATACTTTTGAGAACTTGAAAGAGTGATTCTATAAATACGAATATGAAATACATTCATTGTATGATCATATGCTTTTTATTATTATTGTACGTTGATCGTGTGAAGAGCATTTGTACGCGAGATCGAACTGATTACGATGCTTACGGTGTAAAAGTCGCTATGAATGAAATATTTCTCGTACAAGCTCATAATGATAAAGATCCACCAAATTTCTTTATTCAATTTGCGCCATACAATAGTACACAAAATTCATCTAAATGTTCAATTCACTATCCTGATGATTTACAAAATTATGTTTACACAGTTGCTGTGGGAAAGAAGCCGAATCAAAATCAAGTACAATTTTTCTTTGCCGGTGAAGTACTAAATACTGACAATGGAACATTTATTGGCGTGGCAAAATATAATCTAACGAACGATGTTTCGAATTCATCGAACTTTTGTGCGACAGGTTTCTCTTACTCGACGCAATACCTACCCAATTATGCACATCAAGAATACTATATCATTGGAGTTGAACCGAAGGGTCTTCTTGTCTATGGATTTGCTAATGATTTTATCTTCATCTTTGATTCTCAGAATGTTTCAACTTTCAAATCATGGAATAGCAGCTTAACATGGCCAAACGTCTCATTTACACCCCATGCAGTTGACATCAGTGACAATTTTGGTGTTGTTGCTGGTTTCATTAAAAATGATCCGAATGGAAGAGTCAAATTTAGTCCAATCATTTATCTCCTTAATTTCAATTCATCTAATCATCATCCGATTGTTGTTGATCAACATGTACCATATGCTACTCCAGGTACATGGCAAGATTTATTAATCAATGACGATGCAGATATTTATTCAGCCAAATACAGTATGTCAATCAGTATCAATAGTCGTGGTTATGTTTTAGTTGGTATGCAATTCATCAATAGAGTTTTTTTATTTTCGGTAAACATCAATAATCCGATATCATTAGTGAACATTAGTAGAAACACGAATGGTCGGTCATTGGGAAATGGAAAAAGTGTAGCTTGGTTAGATAATGGAAGTATGGCTGCTATAATTGTCAACACATATTCATTAGCATATGAGTGGATATCATCGAGTATCTACTTCTATGATATGAGACTGAATAATTATAGTTCGAAAAGTAGTCCACTCTCAGTTTTCCCTAATTATCATCAATCGTTACCGAGAAATTTTCGTTCCGTGTTGTTAAATATCGTTTCATCGCCAACATCACTAGCTTTAATGGATGATTTCGGAAGCTTGCTCATATTCAACCCGACGCCCCCTGGTTATTACCCGTCCATACTAGAAACAACATCGGTACCAACTATTACTTTTGCAAAGACATGCCTACCAGGTATGTATAAAGATCAATACGGTATACATGATTGTATTCTCTGTCCAACTGGTACAAGAGCTTCTGTTGATACTACAACTGAATGTATGCCATGCGCGCCTGAATCATTATGTTCTCTTGGTGCAGTGGATGAATTACCACGCTCTGTATTGAAAAATACCGTACAAGTTATCGCTTATCCAAAATCACCCGAGAGTACTATGTTTGAAGAGATATTAATTAATAACATGTTTCATATAGGATCGGGTCATTGCCTGATCATATCACCATTATTTTGGTCATTAGTCGTGGCGGGTATAGCTATTCTCACGTTAATATTAATTGGAGTATTGCACTTTTGTGTGTTGCATCCAGGAAGCACTCGAGTTAAGAAACGAATTCAATGGACGTTTAAAAAAATAGATATGATTCGAGAAGGTGAATTGTGGATGGGAGGTTTAGCATCGTTGTCTCTGATGGTTTTACTTTGTTTTGCCTATGCATTTAGCAATGCATATCTTAAGCAATATCCGATTGAAACATCGTCCGACTCTTATTTCGCTTGCGATAGATCGATTCGTAATGCTAAGTTTCAAACAAGTCTTTATTCACTGGCTATACCAGGTGCAGACGCCGAAGAAGAGATGTTTCATATACTTGATGGACAAGAATTTACTCTCAATGTTGATTTCATCAATACACTTATTAATTGTGACGTTGTATCACTGAAAACTCTATTAGGTACAACTTGGTCGACATTTCGTTGGTCTACCTGTGACAATATTAATTCGACACTATCCTTATCTATTCTGTTGCCTGTTGAACATACATCTATAGAAATTACCTTAGCTGATGTTGGCATCATTAGTGCTCTGCGCATAGGTTTAAGTGGTCAGAAAAATGAAAAAGAATTTTATTATCTAAGAGAGTTAAATTCATTTCAATCTTTTTCAAAGAACGGATCTATACTTGCACATGCATTACCTTTAGCTGTATCAGTAACAAAAGTTATCAATGTAACAGTACCGATGCAAGGTGAAAAATCCAATTATACTGGCATCTACATTCTTACATATTGGGATGATTTAAACAATTTATTTCTTTCACAAGATCAATATGTTAAATTAACATCTACAAAGACAGTGTTGACAGTAGTGATAACTGAAACACCCTACTATGTAAAAAATGTACAACAGCCAATAGTTAGACAAGCGCAGCTTATATTTCATAATATCTTATTCACTGTAGTTTGTTTTGAAATATTTGGTCTCATATTCATAATGTACAAACTGATAATCGAACCACTTTATCATCTCATTTATCGAATATTCTCTAGTCGATGTAAGAGATACCAAGCAAATAATCAGAAGGTGAATTATGATCATAAATATATGGACACTATCTCAAATACTGAAAGTACTCTTGAACAACCAATCAGACATAAGTTCTAAAATTGAACTACTAAAAATAACCGTATGATATTGTTAATGTTAGATTCCGAATTTGCTTTGTTTGACTATTATACTCTTAATATTCAAGAGATTTGCCTCATATTAGATCTAAAATAAACAATAAGAGACTGCTACCATAGGGATATTCGTGTGCTCTTCTATTGGATACTTAACGCTGTTTTTTTATGTATGATCTAAATTTTTCGATATGGTATTGTTAACAGGTATTAAATTGTATACATACCTTCGGTGGATGATCCATTAGAACAACGAAAAGAAAGACAATAAAGCAAAAACGAAGGATAAATCGAAGAACAAATCTAGCAACAATGTCGACATGAATAAAAAATAGTGGAAAATCATACACTACCCGAGTACACCGTAAACACTGACCATGTGTAGATTTTGTCTGTAACTGGTAGAGACGATAGAGAGTGAATTGAAAAATATTTCAAATAAATGATGATTTTTATATCCGAAAATAGAAGTTTATATAGAAAAATGATGTAGATAATAAGATTTTTAGTTTAATGCATTAAGAGAGGGTCCACATGAGCACATAGCAATTTTAATAAAGGTTAGCCACTAGAAAAATTTTGATTTACGATTTAACTAATCTCAAATGAAATGTCTTGTCCATTTACAAACCTGCAGAAACGTTTTCTCAGCAAAATGCAACAACTCATAGACGCCTACAATTCCAATTAATAATTTTTTATTCTAGTGTAACAGCAAAAATGACGATCAACTAAAATGAAGATTTTCTAGTATTTTGATTCTAGCAATGCAGAATCATACAATCTCAAATTAACTTTGATATTTTCTTAAAGCTCTTGAACTTCTTCATCTTCTAGTATGTTGGGTATAAAGACTAAGAGACCGCCGAAAAAAGTTAATGCCCACTACAAAGGTTGAGGGAGCATGATTATCTGTAAACTCATTCGTATCCATAATCACGATATTGAATATTTTCTGATCTATTGAATCGACAATATCACTTCAGATTCGTAATCAGCATGAAAACTTGATTAGAAACATATTGTCTGAATGAGTATATCAGCATGTAATTTGAAAAATATCCTATGAACATAAATAGGATGTGAGTATCATTTTTGATGAGGTTATAATGAATATCTACAACCGCATCTGATGTTGCTTCCATATTAGTGGAAAAGTCTCTCACTTTCCATCTATTTTATTTATTGTTGAGTAAAATATTTCATTCAAAAGAAACTTCTAACTAATAGTATGAGTTCTGTTTGTTTAAATTGTCCCGTTCTTTCTTTTATAAGAAATCATCTATGTGTCTTTTGCAAGGGGGAAAAAGCGGCTCCTGGTGGCTCCTGATGGATTCTAGATTCCACCAGGATCCATAGANTCTAGAGTGTAACAACTTCATACATAACACACGTATATATAGGAGAGAGATAGAAGAGAGACAAGAGAGAGAGATATTACACCAATGGAAAGAGAACAGAAGGAAGAGGAAGGAGAATCATCGAAGCGTGCAATCAATATCGGCACACCATTGTATTTAAATTTTCTTATCATCGGGTATGTATGACTACGATCATCAACTGTTTGTCTTGTCTGGTGGTTGGCCGATCTTGGTTTCTATTACACATGTTGTCTACTAGTTGCATGGACTTCAATCGAACGACATATTTTTATATTTCATAACCAGTGGTTATATACCCGTAGAGGACGTTTTCTTGGTCATTGTCTTCCGCTGATAGCGATCATTGTCTATACGATTATCTATTATACATGGGTCATTTTTTTTCCACCCTGTGAGAATACATTTGACTATATGTTACCAATGTGTTCTGCTTTGCCTTGTTATCTCAATCATCCGGTACTTGGTAAATGGGAAGCTGGTTTTCATGGTTGTTTCGTCACCCTGATTGTTGTTGTCTTTAGTGTCGGTTTACTCATTCGAATCTTAATAGAAAAGTATCATCTTCATCATGTTATCCACTGGTGTAGACATCGCAAACTCACAATACAATTATTGTGGATATCGTTTCATATTTTATTTACCATTGAATCTAGGGGCTTGTATTGATCTGTGTAATTTACCATTTAAGATTGGTGCATTTGTGATGTCCTATTTCTTTTTTCTAAGCTATTGGCTTATGTTTTTGATGCCTTTCATTTGCCTAAACTCATTATCGAATTTAAAAGAAAAAGAATGAAACAATTCTTTAGTATCTCACTTCGACGTCAAGCAACTGTTGGCATCAATGAGTACCAATAGTCATGGTTTTGTCAAATAATCGCATTTTGTTGTTTATAAATTTTATTCATCTATCATCGTCCTTTCTGTTTTCATTCTGTGGCAGTATTCTCAGTGTTTCATCTAAGAAATAAAACTAGCTAATATAAAAGTTCGCCGTATAACATTCGTGCATAGCTTACTTTAATGGTGGTTTATCACTATCTTAGATGCACAATAAAAGCAAATCGCTAGGTGTAGAATATTAATTTATTAAGCTCACTATTTTCTTTCTGAACTATGATCTGAGGTGCTCACGACAATACTTTTCGTTTGATACTAAAAATATAGTTTTTATTAAAAAAAGATTTACAATGCTTTCTATTCTGTTTCTGATGCCTTATCGATATTCAATGATTGGAACTCGTGAAGTATATAAGAAATATCTTCGTATTGTTGCTACATTCATTACGCGTTTTAAATATAATGTTTTTATTTTACTTGACAACCACATCACTGAGATTTATACAATTTGAAAAGTTTAGAGTGTAGGTGTATCTTGAACACAGGTATTTGTGTTTCTTTTACAAAAATGCTCATCCCACACACTCAAGAGCTCTCTAATTCTGAATACGAATAATGGAAACAAGATCAAGTTATTTTTATAGTTTATTTATACTAGAAAATTATACAATGACTATCATATAGTCGTCGAGATCAAGTTCGAGAAGTTTAATAATGATGCTTCGCAAGCCATGAATCAAGTTTATCATAGAGGCTTTGCCGGTCTTCTTCTGTTGCCGGCTGGATTTCGTTTTTGGGGGCGTTAATCACAGGCTGGTCACTCAGTACAAACATTTCCACTGGTATTGAAGGTGTATGTTTCACCAAGAATGTGAGCACTCTCTCTGCCGAACTTGCATTAGGCAATATGGCGTGATATTGATCAATGCCAACATGCAGTATGTTGCCTGGAAAATGTATTCTGGAACCAACATGTTGAAGAGCGCCTGGAAGCTTTATGGGAGAATCGAAAACATTGCCTGAATGCCGTAAAAATTGATAAGTACAAGCACCGCTACCCTCATCAACAATCTGCCATAATTTTTCGGAATATCCGCCTTCCAAACAATGTGTGTCGAATGAATGTCGATGATTGTGAATGTAGGTTTCACTACAATCAATAAACCAGTTTATCTGGTATTCTATGCTTGGGTCATCTTTGTCTGGACCACAGTGTATTTGAGTCATAACACCAGGTACAGTACGCACGTCAGCATCTTGCCAATTATTTATTTGGTATCGGATGATATCTATATATCTTTGGTCCATAATGTTTTGTGTAGTTATTGGCCAAAAAGTCTGTAATAAATTTGTGCTGCTTTTAGAACTTTGTGATCGAGGCAAAAATAAAAATTTTTGATGAGTCTTGCTTAACAAATGGTTAGTATACTGTATTATTTAACTTCAGCTATGCGTTTTATGTAAAAAAGAATTTTCCCCCACTAAACGAAGCTGTCTATAGTGAATGCACACAGCATCCAACACTTAGAAAATTGCTTACTTTGATTGACGCAATGTTGTATTGTTGTATGCTTCTTTTCGTTTCTTACGCGCTGTTTTATAGCCACCCGCAAAAATTATGCCCAGTATTTTTTTCCCAACTCACTTTTCGTTCTTACATAATATAATAGATGCGTAGTTTGTATCTATGGGCGTCAGCGAATAGTATTTTTTAGAGATTGTCATTCTCTGTAATTGAAGTGTACTCTGGCATTTCATATTCGTCAAGGTTTCACTCTGGGTATTTTTTTCCATGTAACATATACACACGCTCTTACTCAGCAATTTTCGATGATGAATAAATGACGCACGTGAATTTAGCATGGCATTCAAATATTTTCAGTTCAGATTCATTATGAAGTTTGTTTTATATCTCAAAAAAAGTTGTGTAAGGTGCTATTATTGCCACATGAGTCACTGGGTAAAAACTATGGACTGGATATGAGGTGACAGTAGATATTATCCGATACTTTTCAGAACTGCTGTCCAGTTTTGGGAGTATTAGGTTTTCATTTCGGACATGAAATTTGTTTACACGCACTCACATTCAGGTGCGCACCCAACCCATATTATTTTACTCAATGGAAATATTCGATTGTAGAGCATCTAATGCAGAGTATAATGTGATTGATATTTTGGGGGAAAAGCATCAACAGAAAAAAAATTTCATCATTCTTTGAATGTGACAACAGATTGTCGTTCTCGATTAACAGTCAATTTTAAAATGTCTGGACGTGAATAATGTCCGGATGGGTCAAAGTTTTGTCGTTCTTCACGTACACGCCGGTGATCTAATGTAGTAACAAGTAGAGCTTCTTCACCAATAGTTGTCGGTTCAATTAGCCATGTACCATCGGGATTTGCAACACACGAACCACCATCAGTAAGTAGGTCTGGTGCATGTTCCACGATTCGCTCTCGATGTAATAATCCAATAGGAAAATCTTCTTTTCGCATTAAACCCGAAACAGTAATGACAAACGAACGAGATTCTTTGGCAATAAACGGCGTAATATCGTACGTATTGTGATGACTACCTGGGAAAATACAAACATGCAAATCTTCACCTTGAGCATAGAGAGCAGATCGTGCAAGTGGCATCCAGTTCTCCCAACAATTCAAACCACCACAGGTAAATGCACCTAAAGAATGAACACGTAATCCATTGCCGTCGCCAATAGACCATGCTAGTCGTTCATCATAGGTAGGCATTAATTTTCGATGCACAGAACCAATATTACCATTTCGATCAATAAAGACCATTGAACAATATAAACTATGACCTCCACGATCAAGAGGACGTTCAATGCAACCCAAATAAACTGCAATCTGTCGAGTTTTAGCTAATGAACAAATCTCACTGAGATCACCTCTTTCGATCGACACGGCTTGATGCATATATTCTGCATGAATTTCTTTCTGTATTGAAGAATTAAAGACAGCAGCATCCGTTAGTTCCAGCCAAAATGGATAACCAGGTACAATAGCTTCACCGAACGCAACTAATGAGCAACCTCGATCGGCTGCATCCGAAATATATTTTTCTACTTTCTTCAATGTTTTTTCACGATCAAACCAAATAGGTGCAATTTGTGCCAAGCCAACAGTGAGTAAACTATCTGATGTCATTGTAACAATACGAATAAACCAATTTTTTTTACGCAGAACACAGCTCTTGTCTTATCTTATCTTCAAATTTATCATCGTCATGCTGCACGACATGTGTGCAAATATTTTAACTACTAGGCTTTCATACAAAAAATTCATCACATAAATCAGTTTCGCTGATAATAGAAATAGGAATCTATTCTATTGCAATCTATTGATGATTATACAGTGCTTAAGATATGAGAGAGCGTGGGTATGAATAGATTTAGATATGAATTTTTCCTTCAAGAATTTTCACATTTGTATAGCTTCACAGCATACAATCAGCATATCGATCTCGATTCTTGTAGACAATTGATCCATATTTTTGTTTGTGTGGATTTTTGTAAGTTGATTTATAAAAGCAAAATCTAGCACAATCCTTGATTTTAATCGTTACAAAAGTCAAGTATTCAATAAACCAATTGTAGATTATGTACCTATTTAGGTAAAACAGATGAGTAGAGTGATGTTTCAGAGTATTGAACTCTGAATCATAATAAGCATCTATAACGAATAATATGGGAACCTGTTTGATTTATATCATAATTACAAACTGGATAGAGGTGGAGTAGCTTACCGCCACTCACGGCAATGATATTTATTCGCTTCTTCACATATCCAGAGTGTAACAACTTCATACATAACACACGTATATATAAGAGAGAGACAGGAGAGAGAGATATTAGAACAATCGGAGGAGAACAGAAGGAGCAGGAAGGAGAATCATCGAAGCGTGCCATCAATATCGGCACAGCATCATCGTGTTTTTTTCTTTAAAAAAGTTACAGTGTAGTTACGCGAAGCTTATTTTGAAGTTCTTGTTGTACTAGACTAATCCAATAGCCCACACCGAAAATTGTAGCATCATCATTGAAGTTATATGTTGGCGAATGCAATGCACCAGAGTTATTTCCATTTCCCATAAATATATATGCGCCTGCTTTGTGTTCAAGCATTTCAGCAAAATCTTCTGAGCCCATTATTGGTGGTATGTTTCCAAAGACGCTTTTGGCACTGACGAGACTTTCGGCTGCTCTAATGGCACGTTCTGTCGATTGAACATCATTAACAAGTGAAATTCCTTCTCGATTGTATACTACATCAGCTTTACATCCGAAACTAGTCGCAAGACCATGTGCTAACTCTTTCATACGTTGTTCAATAGTATCTCGCACTCCTTTTGTAAAACTGCGGGCAGTACCACCAACACGAATTTCTGAGGGTAATACATTTAATGATCTAAAATATCCACCTTCAATTGCACCAACACTTATCACAGCAGGATCTGTTGGTTCGATATTACGACTAATGATTGTTTGTAATGATAGAATGAATTGTGCTAGCAACACAGTTACATCGGTAGCTAAATGTGGTGCAGCACCATGACCACCCGTACCTCGAAATGTAACAGTCCAAGTATCGGCTGCTGACATCATTGAACCTGATCGAATGGCAAATTCTCCAACGGGTAAACCTGCAGCATTATGCAATCCATAGATTGCATCCATTGGAAATCGATCGAATAATTCATCTTCAATCATATGAAGAGCGCCAGCACCATTTTCTTCAGCTGGTTGAAAAATAAAGTGCACAGTTCCATAGAATGAATCTCGATTTTCTGATAGATATTTAGCTGCACCAAGTAGCATCACTGTATGTCCGTCGTGGCCACAAGCATGCATGATACCAAAATTCGTAGAAACATATGGTAGATCGTTCTTTTCGCCAATTTCAAGAGCATCCATATCAGCACGAAGGCCAATTGATTGATTGCCTGGTATGTTACTTTTCAACGTGCCAACTACACCCAGATTGCCTACTCCTTCAGTAACAGTTAAGCCCCATTGTTTAAGTTTAGTAGCAACTATAGAAGATGTACGTAATTCTTTCATGGCTGACTCCGGATGAGAGTGAATATCTTGACGAATGCCAGTCAATTCAGTCTGCATTGAACGTAATCTATCCAGAAGGGTATTGCCCATTTGCTCTTGATTTCGAACATTGGAAGCTACATCTTTGAAAATAATTGCTAGCGAAATGAATAGGCATAAAATCCAGAGAGAAGAATGCATAACTTCGCCAGATTTGATCTAGACTATCAATGATACGATCTAGATAAAGCAAACGAAGATTATCAATGCAGCTGTATAAATATGATCTTTTCAGAGTTTTATTAAGACCAAACGACAAATATAGTTGTTCTTTTATCTTTGATGGTAAAAGGAAAGATATTCTTTTGTTAGGCTTTACAATATTGAGTGGTAGAATTGAAAGTTCTGTTTGTCAAATTAAATATCAAGTAAAAAGCAAAATTTTTTGTAAATATATTTTCAATTAAACTCCTGAAATGCTCTTTTAATTCAACACGTGTTTTCATACATACATGCGTATAAGTTTATCAAGGATTTAATTAAATAAGGGAGTGGATGTGACTTTTTGGATCAGTATGCGTGCATATCGCTTCATCTCTTTAAACACACCCAGTCTACAACCGAAATGTTGTTGCGAAAATACAATACAGTTGTATTGCACACATAGGATTGTAAGAATAAAGACCATTTCTTTTCCAAGATAATAATATTTTATTTAATTATTAGTTATAAATAAAAAGATGTTTATATGTGAATAGGCAATGTACAAAGATTACAAACAATAACGAAAAATCTATATATTTACATGATGCGTGTAGTATTTTTTGAATTGAGTGAACCAGAAGATCCTAGTTGAAACATTGATATAATACCTCGAACCGTGAATAAAATTAATAAAAATGACGTAACACGAATAAAACAAATAGACAAAGAGTTCTTTTTCTTTGGCTCTGGTGGTATCAATACTGGATACTCCAACAATTGACATTTCAATAGATTCTGTTCTATTTGTTCATCCATTTGTCTCATGACTTGTTCGAATTCAATACGACTATTACACTGTCTCATTTTAAAGATTGCTTCATTCCAACAGTAAAAAATTGCGTCTACGTTAGCCATTGATCGTTCATCATTCTCCTCACTAATATCTCTACGAATACGGTCATATTCTATACTCATTTTACGATCTTCAAAAGGTTCTTGTTCAAGGTTTAATATGAGTACTAATACATGCAAGAGTATTGGTCCCTGATAATAAAAAATATAATATTGTTGCGGACTTCCAAAACAATACAGCATTAAGCCCATGAAAATGTACATATGCATGAAGACGTAACCTACTGACATTTCATAGCCAAGTAAAATATATCCCAAAAATATGTAAGTTCCATATAGTGTATAATGATTTAAACGAAACCAAACAAGGGTCCAAAACGTGCAGGTATCCGGTACATCGATATACAATGAACCTGAATAATAATCTTGTTTCAATATTTTATAATATTCGTCATTAAATAGGATGTATTCAATATAATACCAGCTAAGTGTCATAAGTAAATATAGAAAGCAAAAAATTGACCATAATTGTCTTCTTTCAGAATTATTAATAAATCGATAGCAAGACACCATTATTTTATCTACAAAAGAAAATATCTTGAGGGTGTGGGTGTAGATTGTTTCATGAATGACACATCTGCATGCGCATTCTAACACATAAGTTTTAAAGAATTTTATTGTCATCTTAATAGGGATAGTACTTGAGAGTGTGACTGTGGATCTTTCTTTTGTCTTCCCGCACACCCAACCATATCACATATAACAAGTTATTCTCATGATATATAACATTTTAATATATTTTTCTAACACTTGAAATATAAATTAACGTAAGAACGTAATAGAATGCTGTTTGCTTTCTCAAAGATGATGGCTTCATTTTGTCCGATACACGCGACCTACACTTATATCTGACTGATACAAACAATGTATCAGCCGAATAAAGCTAGTCTGTTCTCTATTTCACAAAAGGCTAAAGATCGTGTATAAATAAATATGTTTCTATAAAAAGCAGAGTGAGGTCAATCCGAAACGAAGGGTCATGTAGCACATTGGTGGCCGATTGCAGACAAAGGTGAATAAGAAGTTCACAATCATCGAAAAAACAATCCAATGCCTCCTTGATGTATCATCCATTCGTAGATATATAGGTTTCACATTTTCTTTCTTCATATAGATTATAAAATTATCTGCTTATTCATATTTTGTACATGGACAATATAAACTTGTACTCTCGTTCACAAACATCCACGCCTACTCGTGTAAGTACTCGAAAGATATATTACATATGTTTCACAATATATTTAATAAATTTCACGGTATGACTAGAAAGTACTCGGTTAAACAGTGTATAAATAGAGAGCACCAGTAGATATTATCGATTTGTATTTTGCAATAGACATTTTACTGCTATTTGATTTTTGAAATAAACATAGCAGTCTGTCGCCTAAGATATCTACTTTGGAATTTCAACAAAAATATTATTCGATATCAAGAACTTTTATGGAATTTAGTGGGGAAAAAAAATTCATTTTCGATGAAAATTAAATTGCGTAATCATTAGAATATGAGCAATAGCAATAATTTTAAAGCGACACAGCCTATCATTAGTTGTGCCGCAAGAAGCACCTCTCGATGTGTTGCCACGACTAATTTCCATTGACTTATATATTATGTTTGTGTTGTATCTCGATTTAAAATAGTAGTGAAGAAACCTGTTTAAGATCTTCTATTGCGTTTTTCTCAAAAATTGAGTTTTATACTCTAGTAATCATATTCCTAAGAAATGTTTTTTAAATTCAGTTCATGATCGATAGCTGCAACTGCAATGTAGAAAACAACATTGCAAAAGTCCTTTCCTCTCATCCGAAAGGGTAAATAATTCTCTTTTACAAATAGAAATCCCGAGTTCTACATCTTGGAGTACAATTTGAAAATATTCGTAAGAAGCAATGGTACATTGTTAGCGTTGATCAATAGAAAATTTCTGACAAATCAGGTTTTGGAAGTTTACTTTTATAGCTTCAATATTTCTCGAAAGTTTCAGAGGCGTTTCCTGTAACATATCTAGCATCCTTCTTGGAGGTAGACGGATGTCTTAAATCTGTCATTCATTGAAGTTATTACTTTTTGGGTAAAACGTTTTACTGAAATAAAAGAAAAATAATTATTTGTTGTACTACGTGCTGTTGGTTTTTTGATGTCCCTATAATCAGATTTTGTTCAATACTCTTGTGAATTTTTTTAAAGACAAAAAGGTCTTTATGAGAATTAGAATTTTTTAAAGAATTTGTGCAGTAATTTATTTGCTGACTCAATCTGATGCTGTACAGTTTCTCTTACGTGTGAATTGAATAAAAATTCTTGTATTTAGACAATACGTGCAACTGATTTAGAAAACTCTGATCATCTACCGGGAATGTTAGAATTTATTATATTTTTGGCAGTGCTCTATTTCGTTTTAATTCTATTAATATGTGGAAGTTGTTTCCTACAACTATTGCTTGCCAATATAGGCGAACTGAATGTTAGAAAAAATGATATCGAACTTGAACAAAGTCTTGTTAGCATTTATAGAGTAAAAGATCGATGCTTTCATTGTGATGTGAATTATACAAAATTTGATGAACTACGACTTTTGGTAAAAACGCAATGTCATCAATTGGAACAAGAAAAGATCTTCAAATACGTACGGAGTGTATCAAATTGTGTATCGATTGTTAATTTAATTGTTGTATTCATTATCTATAGGAGATTTACGTTAATTATTCTCAGCACATTCTTTAGCTCATTACATTTGTTGGTATCAACTTATGTCATTAATCGAACACATATGTTTTATTTTCATTCGTCAGTTTTTATCACATGTATATTTGTATGCTGCGTGACAACCTATATTTTAGTGATCGAGTTTGAAAAATACCATGAGAGACAAATACAAACACACACGGAGTAGAATATAGAACTTTACGATTGTTTCTTTGTGTTACTGTTATTATAGTTCCATCACCGTATCAAATAAAAAACAAGATTAAAGATATCTAATTTCAAGTTTTACAGATGTTTGTGCACTGAAAGGAATGTTGAGGTAAATGAGCGAAATCATCGCATACCATAGATGTTAATAAACTTCAATTTTTTAATTTTCGAATTACATTCTAATTGCATTTCTGGAGGATTCCGCAAGACAATTATATCATGCTTTGTATTTTAATCCTGTACAAGTATTTTTCTATTTAAAACATTTCAGATAATTTACTATTATTATTATTATCATAATGTCGGGTTACTCTGATGCAGCATTCACAAATACGTCGAATACACTTGATGTTAATCAAATAAGAAGTAATTATTAAAAAATTTGAAAGATGAATTTTTCCTATTTTCATTTCAGATGAGAAAATGAAAAATAAAATTTTTGAAAAAATGGTATGAAATAAAGCTATGAGAACGAAAATTTTTCTTTAATATTTATATATTATTTGCAGCAACAAAAACCTCTTGGTTATTTATTCGACAAAAACTATCGTACAATATTACTCCTATTTTTTACCTTAGTTATTATTGATTATAAAATATTTTCGAATTTTTATCCTATGATGGTAAATATTCATTCTAAACATGATTATTTTAAGAAACAATTACAAATTGAAGCAGAAAATTTGAATAGATTCAAACAAGACTTGCTAAGGACACAAAATGATACATTGAATCATAAAAAGAACAATCAAACTTGTGTTCAATGTTGGTTCCTAGATTTGATGTTAAATTATAATTATATTTTCAATTATGTTTTAGAAAAAAATCGACACATAAAAAAATCTTACAATGATACTTTATATCCATTACAACATCTCTTAATTCTCATGTCTTTTTTCAACACAATATTGATCATGATCATTTTTAAAGAACCCATTGAAATTTTTTTTATATCAAACTTATTTACAATTACATGTTTGTGTTTATATGGAGAATTTTTTATTGAAGATAAACCAAATGTTTATTATACATTAATTATTGGTGTTGGTTTAGTTTTATTTTATTTTTATATACGAATAAAAATAATTCTAACATTGTTCAATATCATTGTTTATCAAAGAATGAAAAACATTTCAACAATTTAATGGTACTTTCATATCTCACGAGAGATGTTCATTAAGATAAAATTACACGATGCTAAAAACTATTCAAACTGTCTTATTTTACTTTTTCATTTACTCAAAGATTCAAATGTTTTACTTTATTATTCTGTGTATTCGAACAATAAGTTCTCAAATATAAATGATGTAAAATATCTTTTTAATAGTTTGATGGTTCTATTCGAATTTTGTTTTGGCTTTGGGTTAGCAGATCGATTCTTTTTATGTATGGCTCTGCTGATAGAGTATATGTGCAAGACTATTCATTTTCGATCTCATGCCTAATACAAATAATTGTTTTTCAGCAGATTATAAGTTTTCTATACCGTCAAAATGATGACTGAACAAACGATGGAGCAAGAAAAATCAATTATCTTCTATTTTCTTAGTGCTAGTACATTATATATACCTGTGCGTACAAACTCTTCGTATAAAATTTCTGCAAGATTTTTCACCGTTTATAGTTTGTAAGAGAAAATTTAATATCCTAGAATACATTGGGTTGCAATAAACTACTACTCTTTAGACGAAATTACCTTTGTCCAAATTTTATTATTTAAAATGTAACTAATTCTGATGTTTTACACTTTTGTAGGATAGAGATCGTTCTGCAAACTGGTGTATAAAAAGGCTTTTCTCTAATTTGAACTAGGACAATGCCAATCAGAATAAAAGAATGAGCTACATAAAAATATTCTATACAATGTCGTTTTTGGTCCACAACCTATCCCTATACTAATATGCTTGACGTTAGGTACTGGCCAGGTTGGTACAGTGACTTGGTCAACTAAATAGTATTCTGTTTTTTTTGACATATTTAGTTCATAAACATGATAAAGAAATGCAAATACCATAAATCCTAAAAGAATCTGCAAACGAAACGTTGCTGTGAAAATACAATAAAGTTGTATTACACACATAGGATTGTACAAATGAAGACCATTTCTTTTCTAAGATAATAATATTTTATTTAATTATTAGTATAAATGAAAAAATGTTTATAGGTACATAGGCAATGTACAAAGATTAAAAACGACTAGATCAAACAAAATATTTGACAACATTTAAAAAGAGTAACGGAAAATCTATTTACACGATGCGTGTAGTATTTTTTGGATTGAGTGAACCCAAAGATCCTCGTTGAAACACTGATATAATACTCCAAACCGTGAGTAAAATTAATAAAAATGACGTAACACGAATAAAACAAATAGACAAAGAGTTTTTTTTCTTTGGCTCTGGTGGTATCAATACTGGATACTCCAACAATTGACATTTCAATAGATTCTGTTCTATTTGTTCATCCATTTGTCTCATGACTTGTTCGAATTCAATACGACTATTACACTGTCTCATTTTAAAGATTGCTTCATTCCAACAGTAAAAAATTGCGTCTACGTTAGCCATTGATCGTTCATCATTCTCCTCACTAATATCTCTACGAATACGGTCATATTCTATACTCATTTTACGATCTTCAAAAGGTTCTTGTTCAAGGTTTAATATGAGTACTAATACATGCAAGAGTATTGGTCCCTGATAATAAAAAATATAATATTGTTGCGGACTTCCAAAACAATACAGCATTAAGCCCATGAAAATGTACATATGCATGAAGACGTAACCTACTGACATTTCATAGCCAAGTAAAATATATCCCAAAAATATGTAAGTTCCATATAGTGTATAATGATTTAAACGAAACCAAACAAGGGTCCAAAACGTGCAGGTATCCGGTACATCGATATACAATGAACCTGAATAATAATCTTGTTTCAATATTTTATAATATTCGTCATTAAATAGGATGTATTCAATATAATACCAGCTAAGTGTCATAAGTAAATATAGAAAGCAAAAAATTGACCATAATTGTCTTCTTTCAGAATTATTAATAAATCGATAGCAAGACACCATTATTTTATCTACAAAAGAAAATATCACAATAAATGATAGAATTAGGCACCCTAAAAAATGTTTAGTCAAATTACTGTGATTTAAAAATATGAAAAAGAGAATTCCCTACCGTTTACTTCATTTTCTGGATTGCTACCTACTGTTAATGCAGGCCATTTGTGGGAGATGTTAATTGTAATGCATTACAATAAGCGTGTAAGGAAGGCAAGTAACAAATAGATTTAACTCAATCGTGTTTCTTAATATTCCTATAGTGAAATTCANCAAAATATTGTACACAGGTTGAATTAATTACCTAAAAGAACTGATCAAAGGTCTTTTAACCATTGTCAGCAGCATATATTTTTAAGAAATAGATGATAGTGCACCTAATTAGATTTTTTTCTACATTGACTTGTATTTATTCATTTTTTCAATATCTTTTTCGAGTTCGGTTCGGTTCGAGTGCACTTTTTAAAAATCAGTTCGGGTTCGGTTCGGTTCGAGTGCATTTTTTAAAAATCGGTTCGGGTTCGGTTTGGTTCGACTGACTTTTCAAAAAGTCGGTTCGAGTTCGGTTCGGTTCGTTTTCGCTCTCTGGTGATTACCTCATTGGAAGTTAGGTAAGAGTTATTTAGATAAACACTGATAAGATTTACTACATTTAGTTCAACACTCCATACTTCACTATTAATCCGATGCCTACGAACCAGATGATTATTCATAAGTTGAATGCTGACAAGAGTATTCATTATTTGATTACTATTTAAGTAAGTTCTAAGTACATGAGTATTCTGTAGATGAACGCTAATTAAAACATATTTCACAACATACTATGGAAGTTACTTGTATTCAAACTATCTGACTAAATTTAACAAAGTGCTGAATGAGAAAATAACATTTCATCAAAATAACATGTAAACAAAGAAAAAAACTAGCACAAGATATCTGAATTCATGAAAATACGATGAACTATATCTGACGACTTTATCTTATCACTTCATACTCTTATCATCATATTTGTTGATCTAAAACGAGAATGTAGAAAAAGGTATTTAATTATATACAAATATGTATATATATCACTCACTAGTCTTCTAGCACAATGATACAATAAGAAGGGTACTAACCAACATGTCATGAAAAAAATCAAGAACATGAGAAAATCAGGTACTAAAATTGAAATGGGACCTAATGATGCCTGGACCAATAAACTGACAAATAATGGTTTGGGGCAAGGAAAATTCAGTTGACACACAATTGCGGATATTACGTTAAACAATGATATAACAAAAATACATTGCATTGGGATTGATCGGATTGATGTTGAAATTTGTACTATTACCATCTGAAAAATCTGTTGATACGACGCTTTAATTAATGAGTTATCTTTTTCCTCCATGTTCCGTAACTTTTACTAAGAAAAAAGCCATAACCAAGGCCGTGACGATGAAAAGTACATGCCGACTTTTCCAACTATTTTTTAATCTATCCCAGGTCGAACATACACGGTCGTATACGACGGTAAATCGCCTTATTTGGCCGTATTACATGGCTCCGTATTACGATCGTAAATCTCCGTGCCGTATACGGCGAAATACGGCACTGTACGGTCGTTTTTGATCGTATTTCACCGTATTACGACACGGAGATTTACGATCGTAATATGGAGCCATGTAATACGGCCAAATACGGCGATTTACCGTCGTATACGGCAGAATACGGGCCGTATACGGCCCGTATTTCACCGTATACGGACGTCGTAAAGCTCGTCCTGGNCGATCGTAATACGGAGCCATGTAATACGGCCAAATACGGCGATTTACCGTCGTATACGGCAGAATACGGGCCGTATACGGCCCGTATTTCACCGTATACGGACGTCGTAAAGCTCGTCCTGGGTATGATATTCTTTTTGCTCTTCTTTTATAAAACGAGCATTTAATCTTTTCAATCGAATAATTTCTAAGATCAAATTACGTTTAACTTCATCATCGTCTGTGGTGCTTGAACGACGTGGCATAACGACTACTAGCTAATAACACGAACAACTATCGAAATCACAGTTTTTATCTGAAGAAAAAAATATAATCTAAATGAGCACAACATGACATTAAGAATGCAGTAATCGTTACGGATATATTATGCAGTAACAAAAACAGTTATAAAATAAATATCATACAATTTTTTACTAGAGAAGGCAAATAAATATTTGCAATTTGTCCAATCAAAAACAGCAGAAGATATTCAGCTGCGTAATTATACAGATGAAAATATTTTTTTCTGTGATCCAATAATGAGACAATAAATATTGTCTTCCCAAAAGAGGACGCCACACACGATGGTTCCACCATGTTGACAGGAAACGCTACCGACACATGTGCCGACAAAATGACACAGTGACCGTACGTGTAGTGACACATGATAACACAGTATCACTACACGCACGGGGAGTAAGTATTCTGTTAGTTTTGGTTATCAATTACCATAATTACTCTTACTCCCTAATCCACTTCAAATACATAAATTCTATGTTAACTAGAACGACTTTATTCAAAGTCATTGCAGAAAAACAAACCTCGTTCTTAAGCATGAATTCGCACATATGAACATCGGCGGGCCACCATTGTGGCAAACTGTGGCAGTTGCCACACCTAAAATTTTTATTCGTTATGAATTTTTCTATGCCACTATTTCTCGATCAAGTCTTAGTCTTTAATTGGAAGGCAGT